AGACGTGAACCACCACCGGCTGCAACCGTATGTATATCCAACTGAAAAATAACTGGTACAGATTCACAGCAAAACTAATACGCAATAATTCAGACTGCTGGGTGACAAAATGCTTAAGGCAGCAAAAGAAGAAGCTTTAAAATCGTAATAATCCAGTGAAAGGACAAAAAATCACTGGCACGTGGCGATCCGCTGTCTCATTTAAAACTCGAAAACTGTTCCGGGAGCTGGCAAGTTTAATTCGGCAACTTATAAAAACACAGAATGCTACTAAAAAAATATACGAAAAAGCGGTACATGCATATGAGTACAGGGGTACTACAAAGGCGAGTAAAAGGAAAAACCTGTGGTGCCTGGATAGTGAAACCAGCCGTTGTTGTTTCCATTACATGCTCAAAAATACCCGCATAGCGACAGACCTGAAAGATAACGAACTGCAACGGATTTCAATTTATAACAATAATATCATTCGTAAACATGTAAATTTGTTTACCGGCTCAAATATCCCCTTGAATGGAGTATGTGCCAGGACTCTACTGGCCCCAAAATATGTGTAAAACAGCTCGTCCCAGATGCAGTCACTCACAATGAAATGCATTGTCGGTTAGGGGGAAATGAAATATACAGGATATCTAATACTTTTAAGTCTGAACGCCACTTCAAATTCCGGATGTAACTTGGATGGCTATTTCATTGACATTCTCTATTTTAAAGTATTGCAAGCCTTTTTGCATAACAGCACAAACAAAATTAGCTACTTACATCAGTAGAAGTGCCACCCATATCAAAACCAATAACTGGTTGCTTTGTTTTCGTGGAATAAGCTGTCAGTGCTAGGCCAACAACCCCAGCAGCCGGGCCCGAAAGGATTGCTCGCGATCCACAAAATCTGCAAAAACAACGTGACAGAAAAAAAAAAGTACAAAATAAGATACAAATTTCAGTGAAATGAAAAATAACCTTTCGACCGGACATAAGCCACCGTCACTCTGCATAAACTGAACGTTAACGTTCTTCAAGGAATCGGCAAAACCCAGCTTGAAATTCCTGATGTAGTCCTGTATTTTTGGTGTTAAATACGCATCCGTACAAACTGAAAGATCAAAAACACTAGTGTCTTCTAAGTTCAGTGGTTGAAATCACTTCCGTATCCACCCTCTATGAGAAACAGGAACACATGGAAATAGCCCTTGTGATGCCAACACCAATTACCTGCTGACGAGGCTGCCGATGACTTCCTCTGCCTGGGCTGATTACAGATAAGCTGATGGCAAAAAAATGTGAAAAGTTATTTATAAAAACTGGCCCTCGCTCAGAAAGCCAAAAATAAATGAGAGTTTAATATGTGCATGTAATAAACAACATCATTTCGTCCTCACATACTACAAGTAGCAGCCAGCCACGTCCGGTACTTTTGCGTCTTATTATCCATTTCCCCACTAGTGAAAAATTACTACTGGTAAATGCTTAGAAGTCGAACAACTGTATATACTCGATACGTAAAGGGACTACGAAGCTACCGTCAAAGAAAGAGCTACGGCCAAGTTTGCCAGCGGACCCTTCCCGATGAAAAATGTTGTTGTTTAAGTCAATTAAGAGTGTTCGTCTTAAGATGAGTGGATGCGGAGTAAATTTAGTTGATTTTGACTGTGCCTGAGGAACCTCCGGATCACTGTAATCTCGAAGAAGAACAAAAGTTGAGGTCAGTGAGAAATCAGTACCTGTGAAGCCCCGTGGAACAATCTTAATCATCGGCATTACAACGCTCGAAAGTGAAATATTCACAAAACCGATCTTTTTGGCAATTTCACCAATAATCATTTCGTGATTAGGGTACCTAAACAAAGCATCTTTCATCACCTCAGCACAATCCAAGAAATACCACTAGGTGAGTCTGCAAATTCCAAATAACCCGGCCCGTTCATGAAGTGGAAAAAGATCAGTTAAAATTTCATCCTTTGTAGGTCCAGCAAAAAACACACTTATAAGAATGCAGCAAAGCAACAGCCAGCGAACGCATGCCTCGTTTTATGATTTCCCTCAGTAGCTTCTCGACCGCTTCCTGGTCCACGTCTTTTTCCACAATCACCTAAATTTATAACAGACTACTTTTCAAGAGATTAATTCTTCCACAGAATTTTTAATCGAACTTCAAGAACTTTTTTACCCACCTGTTCATCACTGCATGTCTGATCCCTGGACATCTGGTTCAGTGTCAGTTCACAGGTTTCACTGACCAGCACAACACGCTCATCAACTTCGTGCACTTCTTCATACAGCATATCAGGCAATTTTATGTCCAAATCAAATATCTGTGGACGCGCCTGGCTCCCAATGAAAAGCAGATCCTGGCAAATAGTCATTTGAAAGTATTAGCAAGCAAAAGAATCATTAGTAGTAACTGGCGACAGGAAAAATTAAGATTCAGAATAAAAAAGCGATTCACCCTTCACAAATCGCTTATTGAATTTTTTTTTTTTTTTTTTTGACCAGTGTTCACAGCTGAATTTGAAATCTATCGCGATTTTACTCAAATTTGATTATTTTACATCCGAACAAACAAACAAACAACGTACTTTGAATCCTTTAGTGATCAGCAAAGCGGTCCTTTCACCTTTACGCTCCAACAGTGCATTTGTTGCCAGCGTTGTTCCCATCCTAATCCATGCAATATTTTCTGCAATTAGTAGTTACCCAGTGTTTCTTCCTTTTTAATCAAAAAATGCTCGCTGATTTTGGATATCAGAAGGGCAATTAAACTAGGCAACGCTAAGATTCGGATCCGCCAAAAGATTTATACAGCCGCTAATTTGGGAAATTTGAAAAAAAAAACATGCTCAGACGTCTCCAGCTGTAAAGTAAATACAGGGAGAATGAAATACGGATGTTTACCAAGCTAATGCGCAAGAAAATTAGAACATGATCAACTCTTTGTAAACTTCTAGCTTCGTCCATCGATTGTTAAAATCGAAACTTTCGGGATAATAGCAAAAAATAATGTTCTGCATTATCGACCTAATCTCTTAACTGGCAAAACATCTCATTGTGCTTTAATGAGCGGTAACGCTCGACAAATGTCAAAAATATGTCAAAAAGACTAAAAACTTATCAAACGGGTCAGAGGGAAGAACCGCTGAAGCTAATAAATCGTTAAGAAAGATAAAATTGCCGAAAAAATAAGCATTAGACAAAGTAGAATGAGCCAAAATTGCCAATTTGAAAGCCCAAACAATGAATTAACACAAGCTCCATTGCATGCAGCAAATGTACAACCAGCCAAAGGAACACAGAGAGAGAAAGAGCAAAACGAAACAAAACGAAGTGCTTTCAACTGTGAATAGTCCTGGAAGTGAAACGCGGAAAAGAAATGAGACCTGTTGGAATTGGTGTACCACGCGGAATGCAAGCACCGGTCTCCTGCTCCAGCACTCGCCGAATCGCTTCTGTGGGCGCATCACGATAGCTCGTCTCATCCTCCGAAAGCAGCTTCAGCGAACGCGACGTCCCATCCGGCCTGCGAACATACACATCCGTGAACGTACCACCCCGATCGATTGCAAACCCGTAACCCCGTGCTGATGCTGTCGCCACCGCTGCACACATCTGCAGCTGTAGAAATTTTGAAAATTCATAAAGTTTTGAAATTTTCCAGAAGCAATTCCCCCATTTCCGAACATAGTCGAAATTCTTTCGCATTCCCTTTCTATGAGAGACAGAAACATGCGCAGATAGATCGACTGGCCCCACACGCCAAAACAACACTCACCACCCACCGTCCCCCTTCGCCCCTGGAAGGGAAATCATAGCTCCACATCCACCACTTTCAAACCCAACTACCAAACCTCGGCTCGGCTCCGTCCGGCGCCATACGCGATTTGCAAACGATTTTGTCGGAT